TCAAAATCGCCACTTTTGAATTTTTTAAACCACTCAAAGCACTGTGATTTACCAAGAGCATGCTCACCGTAAGCTTCCACAAGCATTCGATGCGATTCTGCAGCAGTTTTCTTCAAATGGTAACAGAAAATCAATGCTGTCCGCAAATCGTAGTTTCCAGGCACAAAATTCGACATGTTCAACGCTATTACAAACTATACTGTTGTATGAAACTTGTATTGTTGTGAGTTGAAAATCTTTGTCAGATGTCAGAACAAGGAAATGGCGTCAATGACGCGGTCTGACGGCAACTACATTGACAGCTATGGCCATCTATTGGTAAATTCCGGTTTCATATTTGCATACCTGGTATTCACAAACTTAGAATAATGATTACTTAATTTTAGCAAAGATCTTCTAAGATATGTCATTTTCTATGAATACAGGGATATTACGATTAATAATGTCAAAGACTTGTCAGACAAAATAGGTGATTATAAAAATTTACTCACCGACTTCATTTTCTCAAAAATCGCTATAAATAACACAGGCCTGCAAAATTGGACGTGTTGAAAGTTGATTGGGATTTAACTATGTTTTCTTACGTAATTTTTCGCGCTGAATCCAAATCCGGCGGCAGAATTGCTCTATCACGTCAGGTTTTTGAGAAAAGTGATGTTAAAGGTGTTAAAATTGACGTTTTTTGACATATTTGTAATTTTTTTGCTAGCGAAGTAAATTTTTTTTTCTACTTTCGTTTACGCCATCTGAAAGTGTCAACATTTATCTTCAAAATATATTTTGTTTAACGCCGTACGTTTTTTTTTCACCGAGATAATCTCTGTGTAGTCACACAAAGAAAAACATTTTTGACACAAAATGTTTGTTTGATTACGCAGAGATTAACTATGTTTTCTTACGTAATTAATCTCTGCGTAATCACACAAATATTTTGTGTCAAAAATGTTTTTCTTGTGCGCGAAAGTACATGTAAGCAATCGAATGAAGCTGAAATTGGCCCAGAAAGTTAGCCCAGAATCACTGAAATGCATTGAAAAAACTTATATTACAGCTTTATAAGCAAATAAAAACGGTTCTAATGCACGTAGGCATAAATACGTTATCAAAACGTAATGAAAATATCATTTAAACAACAAATAAATAATAAAAATATTCATTCTCACTTATGAAATATGAAGAAATGCGTAAGACCTACGACTTAACATTTAATAATCAATTAAGCAGTTCGTGCTCCCTCAAAAATGAATATTGCATTCCTAACATCCCAAAGAACATGTGTGTAAATTTTCAGCCGTTTATTCGTTTGCGTTGACGAGCAACAAACAATTATTTTAATTGTTACACACATGTTCTTTGGGATGTTAGGAATGCAATATTCATTTTTGAGGGAGCACGAACTGCTTAATTGATTATTAAATGTTAAGTCGTAGGTCTTACGCATTTCTTCATATATTTCATAAGTGAGAATAAATATTTTTATTATTCATTTGTTGTTTAAATGATATTTTCATTACGTTTTGATAACGTATTTATGTCTATGTGCATTAGAACCGTTTTCATTTGCTTATAAAGCTGTAATATAAGTTTTTTTTTTAAATTGGTCGACGCGGCCCAGAATTTCAGTGATTCTGGGCTAACTCTCTGGGCCAATTTCAGCTTCATAGCAATCGAGCTGTAGGTAATAATTTTTGTGCACAAACGAACTGTCGGCAAAAGTTATGTAAGCAAATGGGATCCCCCCTGTCTCCTTACCATTTATATATGTGTACGTATATATATCATATATGTATTTATATCAGCTGGTTGAAGTTTGGAACCTTCTTGGAGCTATTTTTTCAAAATGGTTTGGCCCATTTCTCCTTTTGCACAAAGCTACACCTATATGCCAGACAAGAAATAAAAAATACCCCGTGCTAATCCATGCGTCGGAAGATACCCTTAATGGCGAAAAACTACCCTGGAAAAAAAAAAATTTTTTTTCAAAGCCAAAAATGGTTTACCCCATTTCTCTTTTTGCTCAAAGCTACACCTGTATGCCAGACAAGAAATAAAAAATACCCCGTGCGAATCCATGCGTCGGAAGACACCATTAACGGCGAAAAATTACCCTGGAAAAACTTAAAAAAATTCTTTCAAAAAATTCTTTCACAGGGTATTTTTTATTTGTTGTCTGACATGAAGATGTAGCTTTGAGCAAAAGGAGAAATGGGACAAATCATTTTTGGCTTTGAAAGAATTAAAAAAATTTTTTCGCTTTGAAAGAATTAAAAAAAGTTTTTCGCCGTTAAGGGTGTCTTCCGACGCATTGATTCTCTCGGGGTATTTTTTATTTCTTGTCTGTCGTGAAGATGTAGCTTTGAGCAAAAGCACTGAGAGAAAGGATTTTGTTAATTTAGCAAGCCACCAGTACCTTTAACCGGTGATCGGTAAATATGTAAAACAAATTATGTTGTTGTGATTGCTGCTAGTCTGCTATACCAACCAATTATTAGTAACAAAAACAAACTATATAGAATCTAACCTATCTTTTGGGTAGACTTTAGCTCGTTTACATAGAATTCGTAGATGATCGTGGGGTCTTAAGTTGTAGGAAATTGACCAAGCACAGTCAATATAGGGAGAATACTTGACTAGGATTAATCAATTTCTTACGATTTGAGACCCTGCAACCATCTATGACTTTTATATATATATGAGCCTCTTATTTGCTAGCGATACTAAATTAATTATTTGTTACATTGACGAATTAATTTGCAATCATAACAAATCGATTGTTTTTTTAACAAATATCACATTTGCTTTCCCTTAATTTGTTCCTATAACAAAGAGAAATGGGACAAATCATTTTTGGCTTTGAAAGAATTAAAAAAAATTTTTCCAGGGTAGTTTTTCGCCGTTAAGGGTGTCTTCTGACGCATGGATTCGCTCGGGGTATTTTTTATTTATTGTCTGGCATACAGGTGTAGCTCTATGCAAAAGGAGAAATGAGACAAATCATTTTTGGTTCTGAAAGAATTTTTTTATGTTTTTTCAGGGTAGTTTTCGCCGTTAAGGGTGTCTTCTGACGCATGGATTCGCTCGGGGTATTTTTTATTTGTTGTCTGGCATGAAGATGTAGCTCTGTGCAAAAGAAGAAATGGGCCAAA